CTCTCTCTCTCCCTCCTCCTCCTCTCCTCCCCCTCACCCTTTCCCCTTCCTTCTTTTCTCCCTCCCTTCTTAGGAACTGGTTCAACCAGAGTACAACCCACTCATCTGCCGCTGGCCCTGGAGAACTTGAGGAGCTCTAAGCGCAGCAGCAGGGCTCCAGAAGGAGCTGCAGCGGCCTCCACGAGCACCCGCCCGGGAATCCATGCGAGGCCCGCGCCACCCGGGACTCGCCCATGAGGCCTCCGCCGCGCCCCGGAAGGAAGACCGGCGGCTTTTCCCTGGGGATCCTCACCTTGTGCCTGGTTGCAGCCGGCTGTTTGCAGAGTAAGCGCGGCGGAGCAGGGGGTCCCGCGGCTGCAGGGTGGGGGTGGGGGGAGGGGGGACCTCATCCAGTGGAGGCAAGGCGAGCCGGGGCGCGGACTCCCCGCCGCTTCCTCGCCGGCTGAGCTGGGCTGGGCTGGGCTGGGTGCGGCTGTAACGCTGGTGCCAACCTTGGTCCCCTCGCCCTCAGTTATCAGAGCTGGAAGCTGGCCCGGAGATAAATGGCTCCCTGCCCCGCGGCTCTCTCCTTTACAACGTTTTAAGTTTCTTTTTTCTGGAATAGCAGACTCCAGCCCCCAAGGGCACACCCACCGGTCTTCTACTATGGGGACCTTCCACCCTTCCGTGCGCTTCCTGGGTCATCAGGGCGTTCTGCAGGCCCCTGCGACCATTCAGACAAACCCGCAGTGGCCTGGTCCAGAGGGAAAGGATCCTGGGGGCTTGGGTTGGCACTGGCGCCAGAAAAGGTCAGCACAAAGTATTAAGTAGATCGCTGTGGGTGGGCCAGCGCTAGAATCCATGGCCTGACAAGCTTAAAAGTACTGCCTATCCCACAAACTCCCAGGGAAACAAACAGATTGATGACGCAGTTTTACTTTCTCATTTAATCACTATAATTATTATTATTCCCATTTTACAGTTTAGTCAACTGAGGTTTGGAGAGGACCAGGGCAGGGCCACTGGAGGGGCAAGGACCTATAGTAAGGGCCAGCATGTGGTAAGCACTTACATGTTCACAATTACGCTGACTTTATCATCAGGACAACCTTATAAAATGAGTGTTACTCTTAGCTTTGTTTCACAACAAAACTGAAGCAGGGAAAGGCTGTGTTACTTGCACAAGGTTACTAGGTAGTCAGCGGCAAAAGCAAGGCTCACATGTGATGCTGTGTTCACACTCTTGACCTCGACCCTCCTCTGGCTGCAGGTTGCAAATCTCAGAGCCCCGCTGAGAGTGGAATGAGGCATTGTCCCAGATACTTTCTCGTGGCTAAGACACAATATCTGACTCCCATAACTTAAAGGAGGACAAGTTTATTTTGGTTCACAGTTTGTAGAGGTTTCTGTCCATCGTTGGTTGGCTCTAAGTCAGGGCAGCATGGCCATGAGGCATGGCTGTGGAGAAATAGCTCACAGCATGGCGGAGGGAGAGATCAAGGGAGCAGGGGAGGGAGATACACATTCCAGAACACGCGCCCAGTGACTCACCTCTTCTTGGGAGGCTTTACCTCCCAACATTGCATTTAGCTATAAACTCACCAGTGGACTAGTCCACTGGTGAGGATCACACCCCTGTGATCCAATCACCTCCCCAAAGCTCTACCTATGAGTGTGTAAGGCTTTCTGGGGACATCTGGATGCAAACTGTAACACACATGTTCCTCTGACAGCTGTGGGGCAAGAAGTAGCTAATTGTTAGTCCAGGAGGTGGGTGCGTCTCTGGCTTTGCAGTGACATTTTCTATTGTTTTCCAAGCCCCATTAATTGTTTCCGATCACCATTCTTCCACATCTATACAGGGGGCAGCCATCCACTCCTGAACCTTCTCCCTGCAGGAAGTGGGCTACAGTGGCCACTGGGGATACCCTGGTTCACAGTTTTGTCCTCAAGAAGCTTAGGCTCTCATGGGGGTACTGACAAGCAAACACAAGTGCCAGGCTCTTAGGAGTGCCCAGGGTCAGAACTCAGACTTGTGAAACCATAGCTACACCTACCTGGCCTTAACTTATTGCTAGGAGCAGCCCAGTAGGGCAAAGGGAATGTAGGGTGTCTCAGACAGAATGGCACACATAAAATCTGATGAAAAAAAATCAACATTTGTAATTACCCATTGGCTCCTGCACAGCTGTAAGTGCTAGGAGGACAAGCACTCTTTTCACTCTGAGTCTGTAGTGCTTAGCCAGTGCTAGCAGGAGCTACCTCTTCAAAGATGTTGAATGCATGTGTACATGCCTGGATGTGGCCTGTGCTTTAGGCCAGCCTTAATGGTATAGAGAGGGCCTCCTTCCTCTTACCAGCTCCCTTCCTCCTCTGGCTCCTCAGCTTCTGTCCAAAGCTCTGTTTCAGAAAGTCTGATATCCATAATTTACACTTAAGTCTATGTTAAAGCATGCACAGAAATACACAGACTTAGCAAGACCCTGTCTCAAAATAAAAATATAAAAAAGGGGCTGGGGATATACCTCAGTGTGAAGTCCCTGGGTTCAATCCCTGATACTGTGAAAAAATAAATAAATAAAAGAAGGAAGAGGAGGAGGAGGAGGAGGTCTCCTTCCCTCTCCTCTGTGAGAACATAGAAAGCACAGTTTAGCAAGCTAGGAAGAGAACCCGCATTAAAAAATGAACCTGCTGGCACCTTGACCTTGCTCTGCCCAGTCTCCAAAACTATAATAAATAAATATCTGTTGTTAAAGCCAACCCATCTATTTTGTTATAGTTGCCATGAGTAAGACAAAAATTGGTACTGAGAAGTAGGGTGTCACTCTAGTGAATACAGAATACTGTGGAAATGGCTTTGGAATTGGGCAATGGGTAGAGATTGGAGGAGCTCTGAGGTGCATGCCAGGAATATGGATGCTAAGTGCATTTCTGGTGAGGTCTCACATAGGAATGAGCAGCATGCTATTGGCAATGGAGAAAAAACAATCCGTGTTATAAAGGAAAATTTTGTTGTTTTCTAGTGTTTTGTGGAAAGTAGAACTTGCAAGTGATGAAATTGGAGATTTCTAAGCAAAATGTTAAAGGAGAGACTAGGGTCCTTTTGGGGTGGGGTGAAGGATTCTTAAGCAATTAAGAAATCAGAACTTAAAGATTTGGAAACCTCTAGCCTGCTCATCTTTCAAAAACATAAAAAACATGCTCAGAAGAGAACTGCAAGGATGTGGCAAACAACCATTTGATAAAGATTAGTGTATCTGTGAACTAATCAGCCACTCCAGCAGAAAAACTGCCAATTTGGACAAAAGGGATCCGAGTCAGTTCAAAATGGAGAAAGAATATGGATTCTTAGATCCTCCAGGACCGAACCACAGGGCTATTCAGTGGTAAACATGCGCTAATTGATCTTATCTCATCCCAGTCACTTGTGATTCAGAGAGCATCAGGGCTGCCTCCCCAGTCCATGGAAGAGAATGGGAGAGGGATGCTGCTTCAGTTCCAACAGGCCAGCATCTGACTTGAGCCCCCAGGGACACAGGACCACCCAGCAGAGCATCAGATTTGGGACTGACTTTGAACCCATCATTATTTTCTTCCTTCCAATTTCCCCCTCTTGGGATGGGAAGTCTATTGTAGGCTCATCTCTCCACTGTATTTTAGAAGCACACAACTTTTGTAGTTTCCTAGTTTCACAGCTGAAGAGCAGTTTGGCTCAGGACAGAGTTATACATGGCATTTCACCCATATCTAGTTTAGATGATATCTAGATGAGGCTTCAGACTTTAGAGTTAGTGCTAGAACAAGTTAAGACTTTGGGAGCTATTGGAATGGAATGAGAGTATTTTGCATCCAAGAAGGATATGAGTCTTTAGTGCCAGCAACAGAAGATTGTGAACAGACTGTTTCTGTCCCCATATATGTTCATATATTGAAGCCTTAACCTCCAATGTGATGTTATTTAGAGGTGAGGACTTTAGGGTGTGACTGGGTTGAGACGAGGTTATTTGGTGAGTCTTCCTTGGTGGGATTAGTGTTCTATTTATAAGAAAGGGAAGAGACCAGAACTCACCTTTTCTCCTCTATGTGAGGCCATAGCAAGAAGGAGACAGTCTGCAACCCAAGAAAAGAGCCTTTACCTCAACAAGAACCAAAGCCTCACACTAGTCACCGAGTGCTGTCAGTCCCACAGCATGTATTTACTGAGCACCTACTGTGCTACATTGGGTGGGCCCTGATGAAAGAGAGGCAGATGAAGTGTGGTTTCACTTTGAATTGTTCTTTCCGATTCATAGAAAACAGTTTTGCATACATACACTTGTACCCATTGGGAAAAAGTGTTTTCTTTTTTTTTAAATGCAGAGCTGGGTGTAGTGGTGCACATCTGTAATTCCAGCACTTGGGAGACTGAGGCTTGAAGATTGCCATAAGTTCAAGGCCATCCTGGACTGCATAGTGAATTCAAGGCTAGCCTAGAACATGTAGCGATACCCTGTCTCAAGAAAATAAACAAATAAAAACACAAATGCTATACTTGTTATTCACCAACTTAGTTTTAATACTAGTTGTTTGTTAACACTATCAATGTTGATAAGCAGGGATTTGGGGCAGTCCTTTTGACTCCTAGTCATATAAACATGCTACTTTTTTCCTACCCAGCCCCTTCCTGATGGACATTATTAACTTTTACCTTTTAGCCTTCTGTTGGGGGAGAGACAAGCCCCTAACACAGAGTGACATGTGCATTGTTAGTGACATGTACATCATACAGGGAAGGCACCATCTACCTAGCCCACAAGCATTCCCTGCACACACCCCTTTTCCACAAGAGAAAGGAAAAAAAAAAAAACCACAGAAATAAATTGAAGCTATTGAGGGAGAAATGGACTCAGCCAGAAAGTCACCCAAATTTCTTTATTCCTGATGCCAAGAGCCTTTCTGATTATACACTCTGCTGGTTGGGGAGAAGAGCTAGTACACAGAGATGTCTGTTCTCCATTATCCCCAGGACCTAAGGGCAGCCATATACTTCATCCTGTGCAAAACAGTTTCTTTTAAAATATTTTAATGTATTTAAAGTCAGCATGCATGTTATAAATCAGTAGCTTCATTGTAACCACTTCTGGCCTGGATTGAAGTCCAAGCCTTAGAGAGAACATGTGTATTGCTTCTGCCAGTCACTGGAGGCTTGTTGTTTGGCCTCGAGAAGATAGGGGCCGAGATTGGAGGGGCGCAAAGAAACAGAAGCGGGACACAGGGGGTCCTGAAGAACAACAGGACGTTTATTCTTGGTTCATACATCTCTTATATAGTACTTACAGCGGTTATTTAAGGTGAATGCATAAACAGCAGGTGTTGTTTAATGTTTTCTTCTCTATGAATGCACTCTAATCTCTACAGAAACGGGCTGAGACACTTCTCAGGATGGTCCCATCCTTGAACTATTCCTTCAAGGGAGCCAAGGCAAGACAAACAGGATTGCAGCTATGGGAAGTATGACAGGGGGCGTGATCTCTTCTTGGAGCAGAGTCAGCATCCCCTTTGGCCACAGCCTGCTGGGCCTGCAAGATTAGTAAGCTTGAATGCGTGACTCTTTGCCAAGAGGATCTTCCCTTAACTCCATGTCAGAGGCACCCTACCTGGGGATTCAGGAAAGGCTTCCTAGTGAAAGTGAGTGTGAGTCTTGAAAGATGAGTTAATATGCACTGTCACACAGGGTGGAGAAAAGAATTGCAAGCATATAGCAAGTGCTCAAAAAATAGACATGCTACCACTCTGCAAGCTTGGTATGATCTGGATATAGTAAGAATAGAAAAGGAAACACTCAAGGAGAATTTAGCTAGTCCTTAGCTGATCACTCTGACACTGCCCCCACAGTCTGTGCACTTAGGGTCCAGCTCCCTGCACCTGATTTTCTGATGGGATTGGGGTAGCAAAGTACAGTATATCATCTTTGTTTAATGGTAGAGATGCATCCCAAGAAATGTATTATTAGCATTATTAGCTGATTTCATTTTTGTGCAAACATCAAAGAGTGTGCTTCTACAAATTAAGCCAGCTATGGTGTTACTAGGTGATATAATCATGAGACCACCATCATATA